CAGTAGTGAAAGAGGATTAATGGGAAGTGAATAGTGGGTAGAGAGTATTGTTTAGTGATTAGTGAGTATTGCGTAGTGGATAATGAGTATAGAATTGTGAGTTGGGAGTAGTGAGTAGTGAGTAGTGAGTCGTGAGTTGTGGGTAGTGGGTAGTAAGTAGTGGGCAGTGAGTAGTGAGTCGTGAGTAGTGAGCAGTGAGTAGTGAGAAGTGAGTAGTGAGTAGCGACTAGTGAGTAGTGGGTAGTGAGTAGTGTATAACGAGTGCTGGGTACTGTTTGGGGCTAGGGTTAGGTTTTGGGGTTCGGGTTACGGGTGGCCGGGGTGGTGGTGCTAGGGGTGGCAGGGTTCGGGTTCTGGAGCCAGGGGGCGCCGTTGCGAAAGGCGGGGACGGGGGGGAGGTCGAATTTGGCGGCCAAATCCGACGACGGACCGGGAAGGGGGGGGAGGGGGGGGCTTCCCCGGCGACGGGTCGGGGAAAGGAGGGGGGGTGTTCCGACTACCCCCCCCCTTTGGGCTATCCAGCGGCTCGCCCTTTCAAAGGAGAGGGGGGTCCTAAATGTTCGTCCCCCCCCCTGGGGCCCTAACAATCGCTTCTTCGGGCTCTCTTAGGGCGCTCTTGGGGCGATCTTGGATGCAATTGGGGCCGTCCTGGGGGACTCTTGGGCTTCTCTTGGAGCTCACTTGGCCATTTTGGGGCCATCGTGAGGCCTCTGAATCACATCGGAAGCGAAAAGGCGAAAATGCAGGATTGTGGCTTTCGGGGAGGTCCTGAGAGAGCTCCGAGAGCACGTGGAACCGTGTTGTGGCCCTCTTGGTGCCTTTTGGAGGCATGATGGAAGTCATCTTGAGCGACCTTGCGCTATCTTTAGCCATCTTGGTGGCCGTCTTGGAGCATCAGAGGCCCTCTTGGAGCCATCTTGAGCGAAAGGACCCTCGGATGACTCGCCCCCGCCCCGTCCAGGTCCAGGGGAGGGGTCATGGGGAGGGGTCAAGATACCCACCCGCCCGCAAGCCGTCTAGCTCATTCCCACCCGCCCTCCCAACACATGAGTAACACCCGTGCCTGAGCATGTTCAGCGGTCGTCTTCGGATGGACAGCTACTGGGAACCAAACCCGACCCTAGGTGCGCCACGCGTGCCAGGGGCGCCACGCGCGCCAGGCACCCCTGGGGCCCGAGCGTGCCAGGCACGCCTGGTGCGCCAGATGCGCCACGTGCTCCGAGAGCGCCAGGTGTTCTGCACGCTCCAGCCGCGCCAGGTGCGCCACGTTCGGGGCACGTGCAGAGTGCGTCAGGGGCGCCTGCGCACGTGACAGCACACAACGGGAAACATGCCGGCCCCCACCATCCTTGTCGAAAGCCAATGCCCATCATTGTGTCTGGTGGGCCTGCGCACAGCAGGCCAGGCGCCACCACCCCCGCCGTCCCTGTCAACAACCACTTGACAGTGATC